TAAGGAGAAAAACAGCCAACGATCTGGGTAGAGAAGACACGAAATCTTTATAGGAAACGCAGGTAGTGATAAACTTTTGGGTAAACGCATTCCACAGGACCCCTATCTCTCCACAATATATACACATACAACATAAAAATATCGTTGAAAAGAACAGGGAAGACAAAAAATAAACATACATGAAAACCTCACCGAACCCTCATTTACATACTCAAAACTACACACAACCACAACTACACACACACACACACACACACACACACACACACACACAAACACAGACACTAACGTGAACATACATACACATAAAAAACAATCCAACCCACCTTTCTCTCTCCTCCTCTTTCCTTAGCTCTCGCTCCCTCTCCTTCTCTCTCTCTTTCTCTCGCTCCGCCTCCGACTTTGGCCAGGAGGGGAAGGAGGAGGGCGTCCGGTGGAGGCGGTTCCACTCGTGAGGGGAGGGGCTTAGGCCGGGGTGCAGGGCGTGGGGCGGGGCTATGTCCCTGACAGGGGCGAACATACTGCTGCCTGTGGGGGGAAACACAAACCTTCCACATGACCAAACAGGAAGGGGAAAACCCCAAAACGAAACCAAACCAAAACAAAATACACAAAAACTTTTCCCCAAAATACAATTTAAAAAAACCCAAACCAACATCACCCCGCTCCCTTCCCCAAGCCCCAAACGAAAAAATAAACAAAAATGATAATATAGGATCATCAGATTTGTTTTAATAAGAATTTTACGACACTCACTATACAGTTAGGGCATTTAGTGCCAAAGATTTAGAGGTGTTAAAAGAGAGTAACAAACACAAAAGGAGGACGGGAGGAGATCAGGACGATAGGTGTTAGATAGGAAAGAAGGAGCAAACAACACCAGAGCACCCACCAACCACCCACGTACGAGAAACAGAAAAAAACTTTCCTGTACACACATATATTATAATCTACACACAAAAGAATCCGAAACACACACACACACACACACACACACACACACACACACACACACACACACACACACACACCCTCACAATCACTCAAAACACACGTAGGTCTTACCTAATCCGCTGAATCCCAAAGGGTTGAGCAGTGAGGGGGGCGGGTACGGGGAAGGTCTCGGG